TTTATTTTTTATTATTATATATATATTTATTAAATAAAATTTTAATTATACGTTTTTTACATTTCAAAGTCGATCATTACTATATTAAGTATTCGTCATACATTACTCATTGAGTACTCAATGAGTATATGAGTATCCGGATATATATACTCATGAGTATCCGGATACTCATGCAGATCACTCATGAGTACAAACACTAGGTGGAAGTTAGTTTTTGATCGACATTCACAATTATCACATATATGTGTTACATTAAATTTATTAATATATTAATATAAGAAAATAATTTCCGCATAATTCTGTTAAAATCAAAACAAAGATTTTTGGTTTCTTTTCATTTTTCTTATATATATATAGTCTTTCTTTTTAAAAAAAGATTTGGTTCTTGTTCTATATATAACTCTTTATTATTATTATTATGTCAATGAAATTTTTAATAGTCTTTATTGATTTAATTGAATACAAAAAGTTCTTTATCATTGTATATACAAAGAAAAGGATTATTTAATTTTTTTTTTTTTTTTAAATAAATAAAGAATATATAAATAAATAAAAAAGTTTTTAAATTCAAAATAAAATAAAAAATATAAATTTTACTTGTAAAAAATATCAAATATCAAAACTAACCCACTCTATTTTCTTATTTCAAAATCAGTCATGCCAAAACCAAAAAACCAAGGCCCATGCATTATTTCTGGTTGTGATAAACCTGCTCCTTATAGAAAATTACAAATTGGAACAATGGATAAAATTAGAAAGAAAGATTTAGAAAATAAATATTATTTTTTGGAAGAAGGTGACCAGCTTTGTTATAGTCATTATATGAAAATTGTTGAGCCAGACAGACATGATAAACATAAAAATGATCAAATGAAAAGAAAATCCAGTGAATCATTAGATGTTGATTACTCAAAAAATCTTTGAACAAAATCTAATGATTCATATAACGAATCTTCATCTAACCAATCTGATGATACTTCTTCAGACAACCTGTCAATTAATATGGTTGATAATCAGTTAGACTGGTCTAAAATTAAAATTAATTTAACTGGAAGTAATGTTACCATGTCAAAAGAAGATTTTTTATCAATAGTTGAACATATAGATAAAATAGAACTTCAACCTGACAATAATTTATATTGTGTGGAAGATAATGAAGAACCTGGTTTTGATGCAATAAATAATGAAATTGATGATGGTAATTTATTTCTTATTATATTAAAATTAATTTTATTAATTTATAAATATTAAATTAATTCATTTATTTATTAAATAGATAATAATCTTACCTTTGCATCAAAGATTCAATTTTTAAGTGATGTCCTTTCTGATCAACAAAGAAAATTTAAAAACAAAATTGAATTAGACCCAGATAAATTTTCTGAAATAATAGAAAAACAAGATGAAAGACTAAAAGGATTTTTTGAAGAAATGGTCGATGCAATTATTCCAAAAAGAAGAAAAGAAAAAAATATAGAAAATGCCAAAAAATCAGTTGTTACCTTTTGCTATTTCTTGGCAGGTTTACGTAGTAAACGTACTAACTCATTAAAACTTGATCTTGGACTATATCTTGTTGGATCAGGAACAAGCAGTTCTGCAGTTGATATGCTATCAAGGATTGGTATCACAACATCCTATAAAACAATTGATAATTATAAGAAAAATCTTGCAAGAACTCACCCAAAGAAAATTAATGAATATTTTAACGAAAATGTAAGTAATTCTTGAGAATTTATAATATTTTACAATATCATATAATTATTAATAATACATACATATCATTTAGATGAATTCTTTATTTTGTTTTAACATTGATGATTATCACTCTATCCATGGATGGAGAAGACCAAATACAACCACTCTTTCCACAGCAAATCATATGGCGACCTCTGTTTCTAAAAAAATAGAACAATGTAAAAAAGTTCCTGCGATATATAATCAAATTCATATCCATAATCCTAAAAATATTGAGGCAGATAGAATTAAATTACATTTAATGGATGAATTTAAAGGAATATTTGAAGTTAGTTATAATATGCGTAAAAAAAAATGGATTAGTCAAAATGCTTCAATCAATGAAACAAATAGAATTGAACTCCTTACTGTGCATTTTTATGATGCTTTAATCTTAGAAAAATATCATGATAGATCAATGAAAGGAGTTCGTATTATCAATCTACAACAAAAAAATCTACACTCTTTGAATGATTATCTTGAAGTTCTTCAAACATTAACTAAAATTGAAAGTATTTCAATATATTTGCAAAATAATATAATCCCTATTGTTGCTGATTGGCCTGGACAGCTATTTTTAAGAAAAATAATAACAAAAATTAGTCAACAGGAACAACAACAAAATCTTAATACTGAATACAAAGTTTTTAAAAATTTTGTACCATTAATCGGACCTTTACACATATCATTAAATTCAAGAGAGCATATAATAATATTGCATTGGGAGTTCTTCAATAAGTTATTTCATTATGTTTTTGGATCAAGAAAAGTGTTGGCAAAAAAACCAAAGCCTTGGAGAATTAATCTTTTGCTAGATCTTGCAAGTAGAGGTTGGAAAAAAATCTCTCGCATGATATTAAATAAATTTCCCAAAAATTGCAAAGATATTGAATATAGAATGATGATAGACCTTCTAGATAATATCATACCTTCAACTTTAGACATATACGCAATATTATTTAGGTCAGGTTCTTTTGAAGAATACTTGGAAACTGTATTTCGTATCTGGACCTTTGCATTGAGGTGGAGAAGAAAAAACTATAACAAAGCTCCTTTGGCATTTTTATCTGATTATTATTATTGGAAAGATAAAAATCATCCTTTTAATGAAACAATAAAGTTATATTTAGCTAATTTTAATGATTATTATGTTGAAAACATACATAGTAAAATAAGAAACAATACAACCTCATTACATACTCCAGAAGCCATAATCAACCAAGCATACTTACTTGACCTTCATGATCAAACAACAATAAAAGCATTCAAAAATGAACGTACATATCCATATACAGAACCAGTGCTGGAGGAGTTAACAATAAGAACTAGCTTGTTCTTGTTAAATTATTTCCATTCAATTTATTTAAATCTTGGAAAAAGTAAATTAGAAAATGAAGAGAAAAAAACCTACAAATTAGCAACTCTAGATAAAATTGTGGATACAAAACTTCTCCCAGCAGGTTACAACACATCATATCCCCCAAGTATTAACTTATGCGATCACTGCAAAGGTTTATTATCAACTTCCACAAATAATGATGAAGTTGTGCTAATATGTGGTCATGGATACCATGTGAATTGCTATAATGAATTAGAAAAACGATGTAGATATTGTGAAGAATATTATAAGAAGGGTATAGATAGTAATGTAAAATCATTCAATAAGAGACTTGAAAAAGGACCTGACATTCTAACCAATGATGATTATGATGAAGTTGAAGAAGAGGAAGTAGATGACAATGATGATACCAACACTCCTGTAAATAGTTTAAACATAGATTTGGATAGAGAGCTTAATTTAGTAAATGATTGGTAAATTTTCAACCTATTAATTAATAATATACTTACACGTTGATGTATAAAATTCCTATAATTCATGTAAATATTTATTTTTTGAATATGTATTTTTATTTTAATGATAATTATTCAACTACAGTTCATTCATCATAGAGACAGTATTAGTATATGAGACATATGTTATAGCATGAAAACCATTATAGAAAAGGCTGTTATAGAAAGAGTGAACTGTATTCAATAAATATTTTGTTTATAGGTAAAAATGCCTTGAACTATGATTCGTTAAAATGTCTTTTTTCACCTTTTTTTTCACTCTTCATCTAATTCATGCATCAAATTGTTCCAAATTGATCAGGGAGTGGAAAAGGAGAGAAAATAGGTTAAAATATATAAAACGATTATTTGTTTTTTTTTAAAATGTAAAAATGTACAAGTTACCAGTGTGTAAAATCCATGTGCAAAATGTGCGCCAGCGCACATTAAAATTTTGGTTTGCACTCCTTACATTAAAAATGTGCGCCATTTTGTACATGTAAAAAAAGTGCGCACATTTCGCGCACAGTTGCAAAATTAAAAATCATAAATAATAACTTAATTTTAAACCAATAAAACAAGGCTACGTCTCAAAAAAAAAAAATAAATAAATACATATTAATATATATTTAAAAAAAAAATTTATGTATTACCAAAAAATGAATTAAATATGACTCAAAGTATTAAAAAATTTTTTCCACCAATAAATCATAAACCGTTACCTATTTCATCTGACGAAACATCAGATGATACTATTATATCTGATAATAATAATGAAACTGATGAATTAAACAAAAGAAGGAAGTTAAATAAAAAAAACTCCGGGAGACATAAAAAAGAAAATTTAAAATTTAAACACAGCTGGAAAGTTGGCAGACCGTGGTTGAAATGTGAAATTGTTGAAGATCAAAAGCTAATGTTTTGTGCCATGTGCCAAAAAGCAAATCTTAAAGCATCTTTGTGGTCAACAACAGGTTGCAATTATATGAAACTGGAGTATGTTAAGAGACATGAAGATTCTAATGAACACAAAACTTCTATTAATTTTCTTGACCCAGCACAGACAAGTATTAAAGAAAGTGTACATTTATTATTAGGAATGGATGCAAAAAATATTATTCATCAAATGCGCAATGTTTATTTTCTTTCTCAACACAATATTGCTTTGAATGTTTTTCCTGATATGTCAGATTTTGTTACTTATCAAATGAATAATGTTGATTCTATAACTAATGAAGAACCATTGGAAATTTTACGTTCACCAAAATTTGAATTTAACAAAGATTCATTAGAAACAATTAAAAAAAATCAAAATAGCAATTATGCTACTTATAATAATAAAGTAGCTGGACGTGACTTTTTGAAGTCTATTGCTAGAATTATAGAAGAGAATGTTATTTTAGAAATTAAAAATTCAACATTCTGGTCACTTCTATTGGATGAAAGTAATACTAATTCAACTGCAGAAAAAACATTAGCATTGGTTTCAAAGCATATTACTGATGATATGCCAGTATTACGTTTTTTAGGATTAATAAAGATTAACAATGCTACTTCTGATTCTTTATTATCAGTTGTTGAGAGTTTTTTATTACAAAAAGGGTTGGAAATTAGTAAAATGTATCATTTTGGTAGTGATGGTGCATCCAACATGCGTGGTATGTTTATACATTAATATTAATTTTAAAAATTAAAAATTACAAATAATTGTAACAATTTAGTCAATTTATTTATAATAGGAGTTAACAATGGTTTATCATCATTACTTAAGCGAAAAAATCCATTTTTAACAAGCAATCATTGTATCGCTCATCGTGTGCATTTGGCAGCAGAGGACGCAGCTAAACAAATTCCTTATTTCAATAGGTATAAAGAAATAATTAAAACAGTTTATAGTTTTTTCTCTAATTCATATAAGAGAATGTATGAGTTGAAATCTATTCAAGAGAATAGTGAATGCCCTGACTTGGCAATATTGAATGTTATGGAGATACGGTGGTTATCATGGGCAAATGTGATAAATAATTTTCACCAAATATTAGATGATGTTCACCAAGCATTGTACAAACAAAAAGATAACAGTAGTGTTGCAAGTTTTTTGTATGAAGCAATTGATACAGAATTTTATATTTTCACAAAGTTTTTGGCAGATATTTTTTCAACAATGAAGTCTATGATTATGGTATTCCAGTCAGATTATGTTACGCTCAGTGAAACAAGAAATCAATTAACCATGGTAATTAGTACTATTACATCTGATTTTATTGGAAGTGAAACTATGTCACCTACTTATGGAATTTGTTTAAAAAATTACATGGAAGATAACATATTAGTAGAAGACGACTTACCAAGTAAATTCTTAATTACTATTTTTAATTAATTCTTTTGATTAATATAATAATATGTATCTTTTCTTCTAGTAACCATTAGAAGATTTGCAGAGGAAACAATAAAGAGTCTCAAAGCACGATTTCCAGATTGTAGGTTATATAGTTCTATGTGTATATTAGAACCAAGAGAAATGCCAAGTAATAGGAATGATTTAGATAGTTATGGTGAAACTGAAATTTTAATTTTGGCCAATTTTTATGGGAAAGACAAAAAAAATTCATTAAACAAATCTATTAATTCACCTATTCATAAAGATAAGTTAATAAGAGAATGGAGGATGGCAAAAAATATTTTGTATGATTATAAATCATTTAATTTCATTGAAGCATGGAAACGTATTTGGACAAATAACCCAAATTTTCATCAACAATTTTCTAATTTATCATCATTGGTTCAATTGGCACTTATAGTTCCAATTTCTAATGGTAACGTGGAACGAGTATTTTCACATCAAAATCTCATCAAAACAAAATTGAGAAACCTATTATCAATAGAAACACTCAACTATCATCTCCAAATTTCCCTTAATGGTTGTGAAAATTATTCAAGTTTTGATTATAATGAAGCATATAATTATTGGAATAATGTTCCACAATATAATAACAGAAATTAAATATTTGTATATAAAATTTTTAATTATTAATTATTAATAAAAAAAAATTAGTGCACACTTTTGCACATTAAAATCTTAATTTTGGAGCACATTAAAATTTTTGGCGCACATTTGCCCCTTATTTTTATGTGCGCATGTGCACATAAGTTTCAATTCAGATTTTACACACTGGTATACAGTACATACCTAATATAAATATAAACATATGTAACTGTTTACATTATGTTTTAAAATTATTTCAGTTAATAATTGTTTAGATGAATGTGCAATGTTTTTGCTTAAAATACCATTTTGATGCCAGAGACTAATTTATTAATTTCTCCTTTTAAATTTTTGCAATTATTACACATTAAATCAAAGGTATTAATAGTTCACAGTTTATATTGCTGATAACACTCTTCTGAGGATTATTTATTTCCTAATGTTGCTAAAAGTTGATGACAGGAATCTTCTAATTCATTTCATCTAAGATACATTCCACGAACCATGCAGTGATTCATGAAGTTGGCTTTCTGTGTTAATAATATATGGTTCAAGTTTCTGCTTGAGGTTATCAACTGTCAAATTTCGACCTGCAATAGCAACATAATTTAATAAGAACATTGGATTTGGATTAGAAATTGAAATCAGTATAAATTGACTAAATATGATAAACTGATTATTATAAATGTAATGATAAAAAAAATTTCATTCAGAACACAAAATTAATTAATAAACATAATTGTCTATATAGTTAAGAAATTAGATCATTTTATACTTTACTTGCATTACATACCTTTCATCAGAATGTTTGTTGCCACTAATGCATGTTGTATAGTAGAAAAATATGAAAAGAAAAAATTTCAAACCAGTCAATAGATAGTGATGAATAAACAAGTTTGTCAGTTAATATTGCAAACAGTATAACGGATGTCTCTCAAATAAATAAATAAATGAAATGAATGAAAATAATTTTTTGTATATTTTTTTACACAATTTGTTCATTACCTTCTCCTTTGCCAAAATTAACTAACATATCTTGCAACTTCCGCACTTGCTTTCCCCAATCATCTACCTTCTTTGTTAACTCTTCATATTTTTTTTTAAGTAAATAAACTCCCCTTCACGCATTTCTTTATCTCCTTTCCACAACTGGCCCAGCCTCCCTCCCCATTTTTTTTTTTCCACTCCTTCAACTCTTCCTTTGCCTTCCCCAATCTCTTCTTAGCATCATTTAATTCATTTCTAATTTCATCAATACTTGTCATTTTTTTTTTAGAATTAAAAAAATATTTGTAAAAATTAATTTTTTAATTTAGATTGTAATTGTTACAATTCAGTGTTGAAAATTCAATCGGGGGTATCACGTTACACCAAATTTCCATGTGCACGAAATATTTATTATATATTTATT